CGCACATGGTTTGGGATTGCAGAGCATGTGCAAGATTCCATAGAATATTCTGTGATTCTTTATGGTAGCCACATTAGTGTTGCACTCTGCGTACATATTCTAAAGAAAATGGAATATAAAAAATAAGAATGTAAAACACATCATGTGCCAGCGCGACCACAGCGCTCCCCAACACATTAGGTCACGTTACTCCTATGATAACATTGAGGTCAAAAACCCATTTAGAGTGATAGATAGAATGGTTGCTCCTGTAGTAAACCCTTAGTTGAGCAGGGAAAGGAAAGATGATGGGACTGTGGAGGAAGAGATGCCACGTTGACCCCCACCCCCCTCGCCCAGTAAAAAGTACTTTGAAGGAATTCATAGTCTGTGCCTCCTCATTCCCATTATCTTCCAACAAGAGAATCAACAGGGGTTCAGAGTCCGGTACGGTGTAACCTTTGCAAACAATGTAAGGAAGCACGTGATTTACCATAGGGTCAATTCGCGGTTGTCTCATTCCTTAAAGGACGAATTCACGATAAGAACGAAGGTCGAAGAAGGGGAAATTGCCTAGTTGGGAGACAGGCGGACCTCCTGAGGGTGCTGACCGACGCGCAATTGGCAGCGAAAGATTTGACCTCGGCGATCCAGCATGGCTCACTCTTGGCGCGGTTGGCGGTGTACGCCCACCGACCATCTAATCACTCGCCGCAGCTCAGCGATGAGAGTCGCATCAATGCTCAAATCAACGGGCAAGGAAGGGGTCCCATTTCTCGGGTTCTGGGCCGTTTCCATGGTTCTTCCTTCTTTCGTGTACCACTCACCATCCCTAACTTAATTTGAAATGGGTTGCTTTTTCAGCGTAATTCGTCCTTTAATCCATGCTGACGGCCTTTAATCACCACCTCTGATTGCGAGTTGAGGGTAATTTGCTATCTGTCTGAAGCTCTTCTATATGCTCACCCGATAAAATTTAAGCATTGTGAATAGGTGGTTTCGTTAACATAGAAGCGGGTTATCATAGACAGCAGACTGTCCATTTATCCTTACTGCATTTCGCCCAGTGAAACCGAGATGATCACTCAAATTTTCAGAAATTGATCAGAGGCTATGGAAATGGGAAAGCCTCCTCTTCGAAGCCTTTTTAGCGGCAGTTAAATCATCATATGAAAGATTAGATTAGTTGGCTATGAAATCTGTGCGGTGTAGCTGCATGACAGAAGATGTTGTGTCCGATATCAGAGACTGCTCAACATGCGAGGGTGCTCTCGCCTAGGTATAAATGGCTTGTATTTTCCCGATCAACTTCAACTCGTGTTCTTTTTATATTCAATTTCCCTCGCTTTTCGCGGGTTACAAAATTCTTTGGACTCATAGTTTGAAGAGATGGTTGGGCCTTGCAAAATATAAACAAAACTGATGACTCTCTTGCACACAGGTGATCTGTGAACCGAAATTGATGGACTCATCTCGGAAAGGTACTCAGAATTTTTTATGACAGATTTTGTTTGCGCTCCGAGCCTTTGAAGTTGGTTTGATTGCGGCGAAACACCTATTCAGCATCGCTCAGTCTTATCGGGTGAGCACATAGAAAAACCACTAGGACATCATACGACGCCGTAGAGATAGCTCCAAGAAAAACAAGTGCTTAGGCTCATGAAAACGTTACGACGTGCTCACGATAGGGGAAAGCTTAAGATTGGACCACTGTTTTCTTTGGACAGAAGCCGAGAGCAAATGCTGTGTAACTCTTTCAATGTATCCACAATACATGGTTTTGGAATTCTTCCAGTCTTCATTGAACTGGAACTGTTTCGTACTCAGAAGCACTAGGTTTGATTTTGGAATAGCTCCCAGCGCAAACTCAACTATTAGGGGTGTCGGAAAGTTCTGTCTTTTTTCGACCCCGAATTTAATGGCATGTATCTCGGCTCGATGCGCGAACCTTTATAAGAAACCATTCTACTGGGAACGCTTGTTCAGAATGCTGGAGCTGTTGAGGCGATGAACTGAGGGAAGGTCGTTTGGCATCATGTTGGGTTTTGATGCATTTCTCTTCAAGGAAGCTATCGAGATCGTCAGAAATGTGACAGTAGATAGACCAAAGGTCTACTAAGTAAGATGTTCGCAGAATCCACTCTGAAGTCCAGCTGGTCCAACTTGTGAAGGGTTGGCGGTGCGATGTACGTTCAGGACACCTTTCAGGGATGTGTGTCCACCTTTTATAATGAGGAATGCTGGACCCATGTCCTTGAGTTTTTTGGTGAATTATTTGGTCGGTTAATGGGTTAAGACAGCTTTTTCCGTGTAACAGCATTAAACCCTTCAGCCAGTGTCAAGTTTGCACAGGTTAGCCAGGAGTCTTCTATCGCCGTCGAGCTATCCAGCAAAGCTTCGTGTACTGTAGAGAAGAATCCGCTCTTCATTGTACGCTGCAAATCTGTAGAGAAAACGAGTCGCTATTATCACATAAAACAAGCTACAATTTGATGGACGACCCTTCAGAATTGGTGATTTGTCGCGGCACGCCCCTATCAAATTTTTTGGACTTTCCAGCTACTTCCGTATAGCTTGGCTCTACAAACCATATACGCCCAGGTTGGGCAGAACCTCCTCTATGGTCCTACGCACGAGTGCCTCAATCAGAACTTTTGGCTATTGGGTGGCAACGCTAGGGTCTCGTCTTCGTTACAATAACTTTTCGAACTACTGCATATGAGCACATTTATTGCGAATCTAGGCCAAGTGCATCGTTAATATCTTGAACTGTTCCCGCTACTTTCAGGTCTATTTAAAGCTAGAAAAAGAAAGTCATGCCAACTTGCTCATCGAGTATACCGCATTCAAAGCTTTGAAAAAGCTATAAGAAAATGTTTTAGGACAAAGCTGAGCTAAGCATTGGATAGAGCAGGAAAAGCTCTTCAAAATGACATCATACCGATTGCAGTTTTCCTGGATTTCAAGGAAAATAGAAGCATCCAAAAGTGGAGTGTCAAAAAACGACAGAACGTTTTGAAACGCCTAATACAAGTTCGACTGGGCGTCTTACAATTCACAATGTAGCCGTAGTAAATCTTTACATAGAACGGATCAGTTTAGCGGGTCGTACTTGCAAAGGGTTCAGTTTAGTTAATCGCATATGATGGCATATGATGACTGAAAGATGTCCTGGAAGATTTGCGTTGGTTCCCTTAGAGGACGAGTAGCCCGTACCTATCCTGGAACCTACCCAGCGCGATGGCTGACTCCATTGGTGCGGCCATTCTCGATACCTGCTCCTATATGTTCGGCGCACTCCGTGGAAGGGTTTGTATTAGCAGGCGGTACTGACGAGGAGGAAAACATTTCGGCTCCTCCCCGGTTTATAAACTCATGGAAAGTTTTGGAGCTCTCATGGGAAACCTCACGAGCAGTACAGCGTTTGAAACATTCTGAATACAATAGTAGAGAGTGACCTAGCAAGATTAGATTAGATTCCAACAGAGAGGCTCCTGAACAGAATATTTTAGTATCAAGTGACTGAATGGTTACACAGGTTTTTCTTTTTTTCAATTGGAAAACTTTTCTGCATAACTCCACGTATTTCGAGGTGCCACTATCATGTTGACGACAGCGCGCGTCTTGGCTGTTTGGCCATTTGCGAGCGTGGCAGCCTTACCTCTTATTCGTAAATTTCGAGTGGTAACCATGCAAAACACTTCGGCAATATTCAATGCGTAAAAGTTTAATGGGGACATAAAGGTGAAATTCAGATCAAAATGACTTGTAATAGTCATTAAAAGCAAATTTCTGCTTTTTACTGTATACCTCTGTGATGGACGTCAAATGTATTTTGACGTGATTGTGCCATCAAAAGATATATTTTTCTATTCGCATGGGTTTGTGTTTACTTGTTCTACTATTTCATACGGTCATGAGAATAAAAGTGAAATAAGTTATGAACCAAGCTGCCAATTTAGTAGCGCTTGGGAAACCTCTGCTAAACTGAAGCATATTTGACAGTACGGGGAACCATGTCATTCACAGTTATGTTATGATGAAATCCATAGAAGGAATACAACAATTTAGGAAGAAGTCGCGCAAGCGAGAGTAAAGGATGATTTTCAGTCAGGTGAGGCGCGTTACTGCGTCACGCTGCTGTCAGTGTGTTAATATCTGAGAAGTGAACTTATCGTTAGTTGTTGTTGTATGTTTTAGTCTTTGTGTTAATTTTGATGTTCGTTTTAGGTTGGGTTGCACTTAGGTTTGCAAGGTTGAGTTGCAGGTTGGGTCTAGTCGATGAAGATTAGCCAAGCGGACATGTATGTAGTTCAAACTCCACTTTCCTTCGATGACATCTATGAGCTCAACAACAACCTACTCTTGACTAACAACAAGTCACGAACTCTTCCAAACGCTCCGCTATAGGGTTTTTCACTGGGTGCTTCTTTACATAAATCAAATTTTGTTTTTTTTTCCGCAATAGTTCGATGGTCGATCGCAATCTCACCAAACTACATCTGATCGTTCACACCATTGAGGAAATGAGAAGCTAGTGCAACGTTCAAAACCTTATGGAAACCTCCTCCTGCAGCTCCTTGCACTTCCTACAGCGGACTTCTTATATTTCATTTTTCTTCTTGTTTGAACACGGCGTTGCTTCCACGATAAAGCAGTTTGGCTTTCCTATTTTTTGTAGAAATGCCGATCTCCATCAATTTCTCTCGAGTGCGCCCCCTGCTTCCGATAGAGCGGAGAACGTACGGCTCATCCAATGGTTTCTTCACCTATATTTACTTATGTTCATTTATTTATGTTCACCTATTCATTTATTTTTAGTTTATAACGCCGAATGGAGAGCGACGAGCAATCACACACAATTATGGTTTGGACTTCAGCAACTGCTATGCTGATGATGAGGAGCATTTTTACAAAACAGAAAAAAGGGATCGTATTTATTTTCCTTTATCGTACACTTTATTCGATAACACCCAGGACGGGCGGAGTTCCATAGCACGGTAGCCTTTGTTAGACCAGATCTAATATCCAGGTGGTGTACGCGGGATGGGACAGTGCTCGCAACTTCCTGGCTCTCCTGCAGCTCCTTGCACACCCTGAAATTGACTGATATCAGCTTTTATTGATGCAAGACTTCGATCATTCCTATTGTTGTAGTGGATGACACATTTTTCCTTCATGTTATCGCAATATTTTTCTCATACCACAGCACGTTGCTCACTGAGTTAAAAAGCAGAAGAATCCAGAAAATGTATGGCGGAAGTATCGCAGTCGCGACTGTCGAACTTTTCCAAGAATACGACAAACCTGTGTTCCTTGTGGTCCAGGTTGTCCGGGTGGTCCAGGACGGCCAGCAGGTCCGGGTGGCCCAGGCGGTCCTTCAATGTTTCCTCCGTCCAGTCCGGCTTCACCTCGCGGCCCTGGTGGACCGCGTGGTCCTTTGTGACCAGTTGGCCCAGCTGGGCCGTTAACCTTAAGTAGATGTGTTTGTTTGCAGAATGAGTCGAACGCTGTAGAGGGTATATACCTGCACGATTCTTCCGGGTGCACCTTTTGGTCCGGCTACACCTTGTCGTCCTGGCATTCCCATCATACCCATTGGTCCTTGCATTCCTGCTAGGCCTGGTTTGCCGTCGTCGCCATTCTCTCCAGGGGCTCCTTTCGGTCCTTGTGGTCCTTTACCTCCTGCCATGCCTTGGGGTCCTGGGGGACCAGGTGGGCAGATTATACAGGCTTCATTGCTGATGGCTGACTCGAGCATACTTCCGTCCTGAACAAAAGTGTTTCATAATATTTTCGTCGCTTTACTGTGATTGATTCAGGACCTAAACGAGATTGAACACAAACCTTTCCGCTGGTGGCGTCATTACCACGAGTTCCGTCTTCTCCGTCTTCACCGTCGTCTCCAGGTGGTCCTGGTGGTCCGACAGGTCCCTGCTGGCAAGGACAGCACGTAGGAGCAGGTTCAGCATTAACCACAGGTTGTCCATAAGCACCACCTGGATTCGAGAGGGGTGGGTTTGGCGAGGCGCCGTACTGTCTTTTGACACGACTGAACTCAGGTCCATCAATATGATGAATTTCGGCCCACATGTCTCTTGCCCGAGTCTGAAAACTGATACTAAATTTGAGAGGTCATTCAAAGGGCTATCTGAGCACAAACCTTGCAGAAGTCGGTCTCGATAATGAGATGAGACTGGAAATTTGCAACGTAACTGTACAGCATGGGCAGAGTGACCACGGCGGCGATCACTGCCACTGTGCTGACGACGATGGCGAAGAAAGCGACCCGACGCAGTTCCTTCTGCTCCGTCGTCTCCATCTGCAATGAGTTCATGAGACACTGTCACTTATAAGCCGGCTAATGTCCTTTTATGAGTCACTAGAAAGAACTGGGTGGTGAGGCAGAGGATAATAGGAGCCGATGCGAACACGGAACGAGAACGCGGCGCGGACTGAAAGTGCGCCGCGCACTTTTATACGGTATCGGCGCCCCGATTTCACTGACTCCTTTCGAAAACTGCCAAAAACCGGGTAGTGAGTTTTTTCGTCCGGCGACAATCTCTGTGCATCGTCGGACAATGTCGGGAATCTCGGTCAGATCGTTGATGGGACGTGTACGAACGTAAATCATTGTATTTCAGAACTCAAAACATATGCATGGTGGGCTGGCGGGCTGGAGCAGCTCTCAAAATGCGCTTGTATCCATAATGCATGAAAACTTTGCGCGATATCTTGACAGTAACATCCATGTGAAAGCGGTGAAGGATACGGGTTTTAACGTATTTCTTGCATTCAACTCTTAAACTAAAGATCGACGCAAAACCCTTCCTTTTTGCTTCTTTTGATTGGATTTCATTGTGATCAGATTGGTGTACCACTGCGCTCGTTCATTACCACATGAATGTCCAAAAAGGGATTACACGCCACTTGTTGCTTTATGGGTACGACTGGGAAATGATGGCGAAACGGCATTCGCAACATTCCACATGAACGTCAAATTGTACCCAGGAGCTTCCAACTGTCACGATTGCGCTGCTCCAAGCCTTACGAAAGATTATTGCACAATAAAAACGCAGATGTATCCCAAAAGAATTCCAAGGTGTTAATTTTGGATGAAACAATAATTCGGCGCTTAGCACATCCTTGTGACCTGGAATAGTTTTATTAGTTACTTACTCAGTAAATAGGTTTATCGCTAACTTACCCTGCTCCCCTCGAATAATACGTATACATACACACATTACATGTACGCACACATATTTACATAAATATACACAGATACCCTCTGCTTTCGAGAACCAGGTGCGCGTCGAGTGCAGACCACACACCACAAGTGACGACGGCCTCCAAGTAAATCTGGTTAGTGTTCATAGTGATAGCTGATAGTTGGTAAATGATAGTTGTAATTAGTGACAACTGATAGAATACAACTGCAACAGGCTAATCATTTCATTGAAGAAAACACATTTTGTGAAGGCCGTCGTCACCAGTGGTATGTGGCCTGCACTCGAGGCACATCTGATTTTCGGAGGCAGAGGATACAGTGGGTGCACATGTAATAAGTAAAACTCTCAGGTCGATGTCAGACTTTGCGAATCGCGCGATTCGCTACTAGCGATTCG